AACGTATAGTACTCCGAAAGGTGAACCCAATCATATATTAAAGTACGTGATGTGTGTTTTCTCGCACTTAAAATGGTTGTAGTAAAATGGTTGAAAGTACGAGTATCGTCTCCACAGGGACGGACAAAAGGGAATTAAAGATTAACTAAACTTTAGCGATTAAAAGAAATAAATAAAATAAAAGTGCAATTGTGCGAGATTGGTTGATTGATTAAACTAAAACTAACGCTAATGAGCGAATAAAAAGATTTGGTTTTCCTTAATTAACGACTAAGGGAACAGGAATTGATTCCGGGGTTAACCAGATTTCTGGCAGAACAGGCCTAATCACATGAATTTAATTTAATTGAGCCTAGCTAATCATTACTAAGTTCTTACCGCTCTCGCGGCGTAGAGTACAATAATTTAGGAGTCCAGGCTGATCTCTCATGCGACAAGATCCTAAATTATTGCCAAAACGAGCGAGCTTACGACCCCTTAATCGCTACTAATCTCTTAGCGAACGATTAAGTGTGTGTGAATATGTTCTAGAACAAATTAGATCTCTCTTAATTTATTCTATAAGCAATTGTAATTCTAGTGGCCATCTAGGTTACAAGAGATATCCGTTAAATTATTCATACACAAATTAAACGGCATTCATGCAATTAGACCGACAAGAATCTAGCCATACATCATGATTAACCCCTTCATCAACCCCAAATCCCTAATTAAACTACTCACGCCTCATAATTGACGAATCAAAAGAATTGGGATGAATAGAATTAATTGTCATTAATTAAAGAATTGAAACTTACAAAGAATCTCAGGATCTTGAACAAAATAGCGGAAAAATACTGTAAAACACGTCCCTAATCTTCTCTCTAGGTTTCCCAACCCCAAAACGGGGTTAGGGAGGCCTTATTTATAGAAAACAATGAGTTTGGGTCGAAAAAGGACAGATCCGCGGTACGCACGGAGCCTACGCACGGCGTGCGTTGCTGCCGTGCGTCCGACAGACCTGCGCGTGAAAATTAGGCAACGCACGGAGTGCGTTCCCCTACGCACGTCCATGCGTTGCTGCCAGTAGCTTCTCATCGTTTTAACGCCTTGGACGCACGGCGTGCGTACCCGGACGCACGGCCGTGCGTTGCTGCCAGTAGCTCCCTTCAATTTAACGCCTTGGACGCACGGCGTGCGTATCCGGACGCACGGCGTGCGTAAAACTTCCGAATTTGACAAAACTTTCTTCATGAAAGTTGTAGATTAGGAAGTCTTCTATCCAACCCAATTTGCCGAATGTGATTTGAATCATCCAGTCAAGAGATATGATCAAAACGGTGGAAGGTGTCATTCTGAGATCGCAGCAGAGATCATCTGACTTCATCGTCTGTTTTCATCTTCTTCCTCTCAGATTCTAGGAATGATGTCTTCATATGATTTGTAGATATTGAAGTTGGCTTTAATGTGGACTTTGAATCGTGTTCATTGGATGCATCTACAAAGAGATATGCTTGCCCGATTGACAGAAGGTCATCCTGATCGTCGTTTTCAAGCTTCATTCATCTTCTTTTGACCCCGTAGCCAATCCTAGAGCCTTTTTCCTTCAAATCTTCATCGTGAATCTTCCGGTGACCTCCAAAGCTATCAAATAATTCTCAAATGCTTCTCAAATCATCCCGATTGTTCCTCAAGTGCCGGTGCCGAACTCAAATTCCCTGATTTTGACTACAAACAACACAAAACTCGAACCAACGCCCGATAAACATAACTTGAGCTAAAATTGAGACTTGCAACACCTTAAAGCCAGGAAAACCATCAAAATCCAATTCCAACATACATCAAATGCATGTCTAAATACGGACTTATCAAATTCCCCCACACTTAAGCCTTTGCTTGTCCTCAAGCAAACTGAACAATGGGACTTACGATAATCACCACACGGAATCAAAACAATTAGCATGCACACGTAGTTAAAGGGATATTCACAGAATAGGCAGACTAAACCAAGAAAATTCTTCCCTAAACTACATCTTTGTACTCAAGCTAAACCGTTTGACACAATTATTCACAACATCCTCAAAGTAATGGTAGCATACACAAACAGACTAGTTATTGATCAGAAGGACTTGTGAAGGTGATGGTGAATGGATCATGGATAAAAATAATAGTCCCTTTCTTTTGAGAGATTGGAATATTTTGACAAAGACTCAATGTATTCAGGAACTTCAGTGCTATTCTTAGGAACAAGGAACTCAGTAGGCCACAATTTAAGAACAATCATTTAAACCTATGCTAAGAGTAGACATGGTGTACAACTAAGCTAAACCGTCTCGGCACATTTGTGCTTTGACGTATACTTGAAGTACACGGAGGACTAAAGCTAAATTTCAATAGCCTCCAAGTTCATTAATTAAGTTTAGTTTTCCTTGTCATGTTGGCACGAGAACGCCGTTTCTTTCGAAAGATACCCAAGTCTCATCTTACGCTTTTTGACCGGGGCTCCCATTCTCTTTTTCGCAAAGTAAGAGGTCTAGCTATATTAATTTTCACCTTTTCGGATTCTCACTAGACATTACCCCATTCTAATCTCGGCCTCACCAAGGAAAAATAGCAATTTAAGTTCATTAATTTCAAAGTGAATCCATGCCTACAATGCAATCCTCGAAAGTATCATATTCCTCAAAAGTGACTGCTCTTACCCTATTTGGGGCATAGGAGCAATGCCAAAAATGGCTCCTACACAAAATTCCCTAAATTTAACAAATTAATCCCTTAATTCCTTAAACATCGAGACTAAGTCAGAAATATTCACGGGTAAGGAAACAGGCCATTTGGCTATGGAGCTCAATTACGGGTAACAATAAACGGTCAGGCTCAAAATGGCTTCTCCTAAAGGGTTCTTTCAGGTGGGGGTGGATGATTAATGGAAAATTCAATGGGTGACTAATGCTTTCATCCTCTCAACGACTAGATTATAGTGCAAGCAATTTAAGCCTAAACACTTCAAAGATGTCCTAAAAGCATGATGACCCGCACGCCGTGCAGTTGACCGTGCGGTCTGCAATTCGGCTTGTTTTCATTTTGTTCTATTTAAAGGCCCTGTTTTGGCCGTTTTTCATACGGAAGCTTAGAGAGATAAACCCTGTTTCTCCTTTTGAGAAATTTTTCAGCCTTGTTCTTCAAGATTGAGGGATTCTTTTGTAAGTTCTATCTTTTTAATTAATGACAATTAATTCTTTTCATCCCAATTCTATTGATTCTTCAATTATGAGTTGTGAGTAGTTTAAATTAGGGATTTGGGATTGATGAAGTTGTTAATTATGATGTATGGTTAGTTTCTTGATGGATTAGTTGCATGAATCTTTATTTAATTTGTGTATGAATGATTTGATTGATATATATTGTAACCTAGAATGGCCACTAGGATTATAATTGCATGTAGAATAAATTAAGAGAGATCAATTTGTTCTAGGACACCTTCACACACACTTAATCGTTTGCTAAGAGATTAATAATGATTAAGAGGCCGTACGCTCACTCGTGTTGGCAATAATTTTAGATACATGTCGCATGAGAGATCAATCCGGTTCCCTAAATTATTGCACTCTACACCGCGAGAACGGTTAGAACATAGTATTGACTAGTGGTGCTCAATTAAATAATTTTCATGTGATTAAGCATGATCAGCCAGAAATATGATTACCCCGGAATTAATCCGTGTTCCCTATTGTCATTAATTAGAAAGCCCCCTTTAATTTTATCTGCTATTTCACATTACTTTAATTCTCCAACAACCAATCTCGCACAATTGCATTTATTTTATTTATTTTAATCGCTGAGTTTAATTAATTCTCGATTCCCTTTTTCCGTCCCTGTGGAGACGATACTCGTACTTGCATCACTATTTTACTATTTGTTTTAAGTGCGAGAAAACTCACATCAAAATTATACACTTTTGGTGTAAATTTTATTTTCTTAAATTAGTTGTTTGTAATTTGTTTAGGTTAAGACTATTCTGAGCTTAAAGCAGGTAAAGATCATCAAAAGGATCCTTGGAAGGTCAAGGAAAGTGCAAGGAAACATGGTAAAGTGAAGATTTGAGAAATTGTTCATATACCCGATCGAGTATAACATATACCTGATCGGGTATGGACTTGACACAAGTATCAAATCTGATTTGGGAGACAATTAAACGTGCAGCCGTGCAGGATGATATTTAGCAAAATTTGTCTTATACTCGATCGAGTAAACCGACATACCCGATCGTGTATGATATTATTTATGAAGGTTCTGTGCTATTGCTAAGGATACCCGGTCGAGTATCCTATATACCGATCGGGTATCTGACCCTGCCACTTCCAAACACATGCACCCTCTTCCTTCGCATTTAATCGCCAATTCACTATTTTGCAGTAAATTAAACACTTTATATTTCACTAAAATATGCAACCTAGTTTGGTGAAATTTTCTTAAAAATCCGTATTGTAGTCGTTTAGTGCAACATGAAGCAGTTTTTGGTACAACATCATCAAATATTAGTGCAACATGAAACAATTTTAGTGCAACATTGGAAAATTTAAATCTTACCACAACATGAAGCTATTTTTTGTGCAATATCGTAAATCTAACGGTTCATACTCATTCTCATTTCTCACATTTTTTGTGCAATATCACAAGCTATTATGTAAAATTGAATGTGCATTATGCGAAACTTAAATGTGCATTAGGTGAGATGAAAATGTGCAACACAAATGGTACAATACAATGAAATTATTATGTGAAGGTGAATTGCGTATCATGTGAAACTGAAATGTGCATTAGATGAACTAAAATGTGTTTAATAAAAAGCACGATATGGTGACATTTTAATACCTTTTATTCTGCACATTTCAATATAATCCCACCTACTGCACATTTGAATTTTATCTTTTATTATGTACATTTCAATATCGTCTAATGCTCATTTCAGTTTCACCCAATGCACAATACAATTTCACATCATTACAATCTAACGATCCGAATTCTTTCTCATTCCACCACGGTACATATATAGGCATATAGCTAATATACTTGGAGTCAAAACAACATTAGCTAGACAATAATGTCATATTAAATTGGCAGTCTATAGCTACTACGACCATACTATACTAGCTAGGAATAATGGAAATAAAAAATGTCTCATTTTCGTTTTTAGAATACCGACGTACTTAGCATAAAGCCATATATGTATGTATTGAATAAGACATGCATCATTTCCGGAATGAGATACTAATTCGATGCTTTCACTGAGCCCTTAAAGCTTAAATTTCTTAGGTAGAATAAATAGAAACCAGCAACGACTTCTGATGTGTACGTAGCTGTAATTGGACCTGCATGCATGCAGAAGCCAGAATCTACTTACGTTACGTTGATTGCAACAGCAAAGTATATCCATATATATGAGCTTTGATCATCTCTACCACAAATGGTTACAATGTTTGCAGGTGCCACAGCCCACACATGTTCTGCAAATTTGTTTATATATCCATTTTGGCTATTTGATGAACTTACTCCATGTGGCCATATTAATTTCATGCTTTAGTACTATAATGTTCTATTTTGTTGAAACGGTCCGGCTCACTCGTCGCTGATTCTCTCTCATAAGAGAGGTATGAGTTCAAAATTCATGGAAGTAATTTTAATCTTATTTACTCGCCCCCCAGCCCCTCTACCCCTAGGGTAAAAATAGAATTGAACTACTCCATAGAATACTCTATTGAGTTGTTATGTTAAAGTCTATTTGTTACTACCTTCGTCCCGAAAATGTTCGTCATATTGACTTTTTTGGGTCAATGATAACAAATCCGTTTCGGTGGCTGGTCAAACCGGACCTATTTCGAGTAGCACGAGAAGACAAATTGCGGGACGAGTCTACATGCATAGTTGCAGGGTTAGCGAACATAATAGCTTTTATATGACTTTTTGTTCTTTATCTCACCCTAGTGTAGCATTGAACACTGTGATTGTAATGCTTCGGCTTTTGATTGTTATGTTTCTGGTTACCCTTATCAATAATAATTAAGTTATTGATTTTCAAAAAAAGTTGTTCCTTTAGTATCATTTAATTAATAAATAAACTATTTTATTTCAAAAACTTGAGATTTAAGCTGGGAGTCTAGGACTAGAAGTAATAATTTTTGAGTATATATATAGCCATCAATTAACCAAGGATTCCAGTCCAGTTAGTTGTGAGGTTACCGTGCCTAGTGAAAAAAATTGAAACTCAATGGAGTGCCTGATTACTCCAGACCCCTCAGCCCCTCCCCCAAACCCCATGGAGTAAAAAAAACAAAAAAAATCAATGATAATTAGCATCACTGTGGAGTGCAAGTTTCCCATTTCCCGGTGCAGGCGGGTTCGTTAATTTCACATGTCTTTCGGACTCAACTATCCAATTAAAGACTAACCTGCTCAGTTTCCTGATCCAGTATTTCCAGGCCCAGGCCCGCCCCTGGACTACATGTGTATATCTGAATGCTGACCTCCACGGCTTCCCCCTTCGTTGTTCTGGCGTTGACTTGGTTTTAAATGGGCCCACTTCCAAATTTGTCCAACATGCACGAAGCAAATTAATTAAATATAGATTATTATTAAACAATTTATGGCTTATTTATATATTTGTAGGGAGGAGGGCTATTATTTGTTAATTAATCAAATTAAGAGATACTTTGTTAACCCCTTTTTGAGCTTATCAAGGTTATCATGCGTTCAATTGTACTGTGCAATAATCAAAATAATAAATTGAATTGGCTAAACAGCCTAAACTTAATTACTCAAAAGTGCCAATTTTAGTTATTTTCATAGATTTTTCGTTTAATTTATTAACAAAATATATCTTAAATATCATTTCTTCATAATTCAGCATATTCAGTCAATTAAGTCAATTTTATTAGAAATTCATTAATTTCAGCAGATTCAGTCGATTAAGCCAGTTTTATCATAAAACAGACTCTAAATATCTACGACTTAATTACGTTTTTGGATGCAGCGCTGAAGGCCTGCTTGTGACTCAGGCAAGGATTTGAACCCTTCAGCCTCTTTATCTCTTCCCTGAAGATATAACAACTTCAAATTTAACAACTTCAAATTTGGGAAAAACGAAAACCAATGCATGCAATATATATATATATATATATATATATATATATATATTGAGGGATATATTAATTATTAATTAGATGTGTACATGTACATACTTGATGAAGCAATTGTATGCTGACGGTGCTCGTTGCCTCTTCTCGGGAGCTGCGATGGCACATATATAATTCACGTATATGAACTCTAAAAAAACTTTAATTTACTAATAGGTATATATTTAACAATTTATCTGCACCAATTTAAACACTAGTGTCTCTTTTATTTCATTTAATTTTCTCTTTTAAATCTCATCTTATTTTACATTAGCACTAAGTATGTACTCATTTACGCTTATAAAAACTTCCCAAAATAAGAATGAAAACACATGTTTAGGGAGGGAAATTAAATAATGGCACTCCTATTTGAAGAATAGTGTCATGTTTTACTCATATTATATATGCAAGTTGAATTGTGCTAAATTGAAAAGTATGAATAAAAACTTACCGTATGGTACGTACAAACTTACGTTATAAGAGAAAATATATACTACCTACTTCATATGAGTTCTAAATTTTAGTTTCCACTGTACTATTACTTCAATTAAATGTGAGAAAATAAATGTGAGGGAAAACAAGACAGGCCCTAAGCAAGATAGGATAATAGAAGTAATAATAAGTAGGCATTATATTATACGTTTAGTAACAGCAATCTTTATATCATCATCAACCATATCATCATCATCGTCATCATCATCATCTTTGACGTCATCCAAAAAGGAGCACTTTTTCTTCATGTTTGTAGGATTAGAAGCATTTCCTTTTTCTTCATCAGCTTCACCTTCTTTCGCAAACTGCTTCAATTTTAGCATTATTGATAAGTTATACGTAGTACGTAGTACATACAAACGGGAGGCATATTAATTACATATTCAAATATAATACGTACTTGTGTTTCATTAAACTTTGTCAACTTTCACTTTTTATCGATCGTGTCCAAAAATCACTAAAATCACTTCCTTTAATATTCTCTCTGTCCCCAAAAGAAGTTCTCACTTTCCTTATTTGGATAACCCTAATTTAAATTCTCATTTCCTTAAATGGAAAGTTGTCTACATCAAAACAGTGTCAAACAGTACAAAACAGTGTCAAACAGTGTCAAACAGTGTCGAAACAGTGTCAAACCAGTCAAATTTACCCCCTGATAAGTTTACTTGCATAAAAGTGTGTGAAGGTCAAATGGGGAACTTCTTTCGAGGACGGAGGGAGTATTAAGTACGTGTTTTTTCTAAAATCACTTTTTTAGGTAGAATCAATCACACTGTGGCTCCCTTAAGGATTACCTCATGGTGATGATGATCAAGGGAAGCAAAGTGGTGGAAGGGAAGCTGGAAGCAAGAAGTTCTGATCATCATGTTGACGGAAAGAATGGCTGCACAGTGGCCGCACCTCACCGTCACTGCCGCCGTGCTTAGACTGCTCCGCGGCACACTAACCTGCAAGCAACCCATCGCCCAATCATTATTATTAAACCACGTGAAATGTACAAGCTACTTAAATAAACAGTAAATGTAAGTGAACTGCAAATTGTTAAAATAAATAAATTATGTGTTTTTGTGATTTGATGTATAAAAAAGAAAGGGAAAATGTAATTATTACAAGTAAAATGGTGTTGCAGTTGCCACATTTGACATAGCACAGTTTGTTTTGGAGATTCATGAGAGGGTTCATTGTTGACATGTGTGTGTTTTATGTGGGGGGCTTAAGACTGTATGGGGTAGAAGGGATTCACAAGAAAGGGGTATCACTTTGAACAGATATATATGGAGATAAAAGTCAAATACTCCAATACTTCGAATGGGGGTTGGGGGTGTGGTGGAGTGGGGTCGATGAGGGTGTGAAATTGTGAAAATATATACTACCTCTGTTCTTAAATAAATGCAACATATGAAAATTAACACTATTCACATGTTCTATTTTGACTACCTTTCTTCTAATCCTACAAACATGAAGACAAAGTGCTCCTTTTTGTATTAATAATTTTTTATGAAAAAAATATTGTTAAATTTGTCTCATTGTAAATTTTTAAAATCTAATTTTTTGAGTTTTTTACTAATAAATTATATGTATTAATGGTCAAAGTTGTGTCTCGGCAAGTGTGAAATGTTGACCGTTGCATTTATTAAAAAATGGAGGAAGTACTTACTTAATAATAAAGTAGAAACTTGTCATTCAAATTGAATTCTAAAATATTTGCTATTGCAATCTGTTGGGGAAAAACACGACCCCCGACCTCTTCCAGGATCACCAGCTCAAAGGACTCTTGTACATTCACCCACCCACTCGTAACACAAAGATTCAATCTAACAATATCACTTTGTATTATACAATTGAAATGTACAAGAGATATTTTACAAGTAAACGGGTAGCTCACATCACTCTTTGTATATGAGACTACTTCACTCACACACACCTCTTTCAAGGAAGCACTCACTCACTCAAGAGCTCTCCTCAAGGCTCTCTCTCTCATCACTGGAGGAAGCTCTCTCTCTAGGCCCTCACATGGCTCTCTCACTAAGCTCTCTCCTTTAGGAATGAGGAATCTCACCCCTATTTATACAACTCATCTCAAAGCTTCTCTAGAACTTTCTATACATCACTACATTTCAAGATTCTTCCAAGAACTATCCACAAGCTTCTCTAATCTTCTAGAAGGATCTAGAGAACTCCACATCGCTTGAGAATGTTCTAGAGGCTTCCACAAACTTCCGCACGATTCTAGAGAATTCCACATTTCTCTAGAAAACTCCACAATGTTCTAGAATATTCTACACTCTTCCACGCGCTTCTAGATAATTCCACGTCTCTCTAGAAAGCTCCGGAATATTCTAGAACATCCAATATTTCTTTACACACATCTAGAGAATTCTAGACATCTCCGCAATATTCTAGAATTCTCATGAACTTCTCAATTAAGGAGGGAACCCAACACAATCACACGCGTGCGTGCGTGCGTGTGTGTGTATGGGTGTGCGTGCGCGTGCGTGCAGACGTGGGCGGGCGGGCCCTAGTGTCCTTTGTTCCCGCCTCATTCCTGGTCAGAACATAGTAGAACCCCCTTCCTCCCTTCATTTTGGGGTCCATCTGGCTAGCCTGCAAGTCGGGCTTGGGTTTCCGCTTCATAATGCCGTTCTGGACATTATGTGCCATTACGGCGTCATTTCGGGTCAGCTTACCCCAACCACCCACATGTTCATCCCCCGGGTTCATTGCCTGGTGCATTCATCTGAAGATTAGGCCTTATCTCGACATATTCATCAACTTCTTTCATTCTGTGAGATTTGGCTCTTCTGATGCCCTGGGTTATTTTTCAATCACCCAACGGGCTGGTCATCGCTTGTTTGAGGCCAAATCCTACCCTGACTCCTTCAAGGGCTGGAGGCATATATAAGTGGGTTTGGGTTACCCTGACAGATGGTAGGCTCCCATTCGAGAACAAGTGGGGGGAGCTGATTCGGAGATAGGTGATGCCCATCCTTCCAGAAGGAAATGATAAGGCCGCAAAATTGATCATTGAGGGCTCACCCTTCCTGATGGGGCATTACATAGGCGACAACGGGGTGGTTGTGCTTGAATTTAGATCAAGTCAGAAACAGATGATCGTAAACTTGCTATATTTACTTTTGTTTGATTGTGTCCACCTTTTCTAACCCGGTTCTTGTCTTGATTTAGCGGGTGATAAGATGGCATCCCGACTGGAGCGACTTGCGGGTACTATTAAGTACCTTAACCAATTTTATATTTTAATAACAACTTTAACAACCGGTAAATATTAGACTGGACCATGGAACGAAGAGAGGATAAAAATGTTGGATTTTTTTTATTATCAATAATTGGGATCGTTTGGGGAAGACCAGGTAAAGATTGGATTATTAGTATCAATTTTTCCTATAATTTATTCATAATTAAGCGAATTTGGTCATAATTTCAGTAAATTTAGTCAATTTCAACATTATTTAACGAAATCTTAATACACATCGATCTTATTTTAGATCGAACTTAATGCAAAGTAAGAACATTATTTTGGTTTGTTATAGAACATTAGAACTTTTCCCTAGAATATCATTAATATGAATAAAAAAATGATTAGTGTTGGATCCGAGACAAACAAGAAGAAGTAGTGGAACTCACAATCATAAACCAAAGTAGGGTTTAGAGTGGTCACCTCACCCTTGAAAGTTTGTGCATGTGAGTCATTGATAGATCTTCAATTTGATATATTATAGCTTATTTAACTCATTACGATTAAAAAGTTATGATTATCGGAAAATTAGCATCATCTAAACTTGAAAGGTGCATAATTTTATGCATAATACTAGTTATATTCCCAATTTCTATAAATGATCTTATTTAATGATTACTTACATAATTTTTTATATATATTATATACTTCTCCCATTCTTCAATAGTTGCAATACTTTCTTGAAATAATTACACAAATATGACCAAAATAAAGACGATTTACAAAAATATGACTAGTTAGTAGAGTAGTAATGAAATCATAGTAATTCATGTTCAAGTTTTATTTTAGTAATATTATTGTAAAAAAACCCTACTTTCTTTTTGCATTATTCACACATCTTAATTTTAGCATAATTTTCTACCACTGTATATACTCAAATTATTATGTATAAACCCTCAAAAATAAATTATTATGTACAAAATACTATTAAATTTCTATTGATTTGAATTTTCAAAATATTACTAGTAACTTTTTATAATGTGACTATTATATAATTAAATATAACATTCAAAATTATATATTGACAAACATGAGAGTCAAATTGTTACGATTTGAAAAGAACACAAACAATATACAGTAGTATCAAACTAATAATAATTTAGGACTTATTTAAATCATCATTTATTTTACAACATATGAAATATTTTACTCCATATTGTTTTAAAATGCATTGTCATTTTGATGGTATATAATTACTCAGGTTTGAGTCGTCTAATAGCCTAATAGGGATTTAAATGAGAAATAATTACGTACTACATAAATATGACCAAAATAAAGATCATTTATATGATTAATATGAAATCGTAATTACTACAATCGTGCTTTGTAGTAATGAAATAAATAACCAAGTTACTCCAAATTGTCATCTGCACCAAAATTCGTATTTCGCTCAGCTTGAAAGTTAGTTTCTGGGAAACATTCCTGGTTTTGCTCCGCCGCCTAAACCAAGAAACCCGTAGTGTTGAATCTGTCGCTGCGGCTCTGTATTCTCGGGGTTCTCTTGCTAGGGCTCGCACCTCACACAATAACCATGGATCTATTACGCTCGTACGCAGATGATGAAATGGAGGGCCAAGAGCAATCCGAAGAACTACATGAACCATCCTCTTCCGACCAAAACCCTAATTCTCAACTGTTGGATCCTTCAAGTAACTCCTCTCCTGATTCGTCCCCGATTCGGATTCCACTCCCATCCAAATCCGCCGCCCCGAAAATTAACGACACGATGCTGGCCCTCACAGTCGCCGGCGGGGCAGCTCAAGCTCTCTCGAAACCGCTAGACCCGACTCAACACTCGGTCTCCTACAATCCCACGTATGACCAGCTCTGGGCCCCAATTTACGGCCCTGCACACCCGTATGCGAAGGACGGTCTGGCACAGGGATTGCGCAATCACAAGCTTGGATTTGTAGAGAATGCTTCAATTGAGCCGTTCGTTTTCGACGAGCAATACAATACGTTTCAGAAATACGGGTATGCATTTGACCCCTCTGCGAATAGCTATGTTGGGGATATGAAGGCCTTGCAGAAGAATGACGCAATGTCAGTGTATAATATACCACAGACCGAGCAGAAGAAGAGGAAGCTGGAGAAGAAGAAGGAGATGGTTGAGAACGAAGAGGTAGAGGATGAAGGGGATGCCGATATGACGGAAGTGGATAATCCTTCCACTGAGGTGTGGTTGAGGAAGAATAGGAAGAGTCCTTGGTCTGGGAAGAAGGAGGGTCTGCAAACAGAACTGACCGAGGAGCAAAAGAAGTATGCTGAAGAGTATGCTAAGAAGAAGGGCGAGGAGAAAGGTGAAAGAGAAAAGGCAGAGCCTTTGGTTGAGAAGACTACATTTCACGGTAAGGAAGAAAAAGATTATCAGGGTAGGTCGTGGATTGCTCCTCCTAAGGATGCAAAGCCTCAAAATGAGCATTGTTATATTCCCAAGAGATTGGTGCATACTTGGAGTGGCCACACGAAAGGAGTTTCGGCTATTCGGTTCTTCCCTAACCATGGTCATCTGATTTTGTCTGCTGGAATGGATTCTAAAGTGAAGATTTGGGATGTTTTCAATTCAGGGAAGTGCATGAGGACTTATATGGGACACTCTAAGGCAGTGAGAGATATTTGGTTTAGCAATGATGGAACAAAATTTTTATCTGCTAGCTTTGATAATAATATTAAGTATTGGGATACTGAGACTGGGAAAGTAATATCTACTTTTTCCACGGGGAAAAGGCCTTACGTGGTGAGGCTAAATCCTGATGAGGATAAACAGAATTTGCTTTTGGCTGGTATGAGTGATAAGAAGATAGTACAATGGGATATGAACACTGGACAGATCACTCAGGAGTATGATCAGCATCTTGGAGCAGTTAATACTATCACTTTTGTGGATGACAACAGAAGGTTTGTGACTTCTAGTGATGATAAATCTCTCCGTGTTTGGGAGTTTGGCATTCCCGTTGTAATAAAGTATATTAGTGAACCGCAC